CAAAGACCACAACCACTAGAGCAGTACCAATACCCAAAAAACAAAAAAAGCGTTCTTCCCTCCCTAAATTGTTCGAAGGATGCACTTAAAATTCCAAAAATTACATTTGGGACGGCACAATACTTATCAAACTTGGTTTTTCTTATCTTTTGGTAAATCTTAAGAAAAATCTCTTTCATCACTCCCTCCATGGTTGATTAATATCGGTATGAAATGGGTTTTTCAAGGTCACCTGGAAAATGGTGAATCTCACCTAAAACTTAGAGGAGAAGGTGACTTTTGTTGAAGATGGAAAGGAAAGGCTAGAGATTTATCAATGGTTGAACCAAATCAAAGAGAAAAGATGGTAAAGAGAGGTGGTTGAGTGAAAGACAAAGCAAGCATGAAAAGAGAGAAAATGGTAGAGCATCTGGGATAAGGAAAGAAATTTTTGGATTATATTTATAGGAAATTTTCAACAAAGGGGTTGAAGGAAATCTTTATAATTATTTATACCCATAAATCTTTGTTTATACGCACAAATTTTGTAATTATTTTTTAATTATCTATAAATAGTATTTTCTGTTTTTTTTTTTAAAATTTTGAGTCCATTTCTGGCTTATAATTATGGCTTATAATTATAAAGATTTCTGGCTTATAAATGAGTCAATTTATGGCTTATAATTATGGCTTACAATTTATGATTTTGAGTCAACCTTTATTTATTTGGCTTATATTTATAGGAAATTTTCAAAAAAGGGATTGAAGGAAATCTTTATAATTATTTATATCCACAAATCTTTGTAATTATTTTTCAATTATCTATAAATAGTATTTTTTGATTTTTTTAATTTAAATTTTGAGTCCATTTCTGGCTTATAATTATGGCTTATAATTATAAAGATTTCTGGCTTATAAATGAGTCAATTTATGGCTTATAATTTTGAATCAATCTTTATTTATGGCTTATAATTTTGAGTCGATCTTTATTTATGGCTTATAATTATACAAAGATTTCTGTCACTTATGACTTATAAATCTTTATTTATACCCTTAAATCTTTATAATTATTTTTTAATTATCTATAAATAAATGAACTAATTATGAGTATTCATATAATTATCTATAAATAAATCTTTGTAAAGATTTATGGCTTATAAAGATTTTGAGATTTATAAGCCATAAATCACTGATTTATTTATAATTCTGATCTTTTTGTAATTATACAAAGATTTATGGCTTATAAAGATTTTGTAAATTTTCAAATTTTTATTTTTTAATTATGAGTCAATTTTTTTATTGTTTAAATCCGTCATGACTAGACCATTCCAAACCAAACCAAGCCTTTAGTCTCAGTAAATGGGGTCGACTACATGAATCCTTATTCTCGATTTGCCCTATCAAAGGCCATTTCGTTAGTCAAATTAAGTAGATCCATATCTTTATTTACAACGCTAACCAACGTTAATCTAAGCCAACCCCATGCCTTAACACTTGCATCTACAGTTACAGCATTGCATCTCTCCACTATTGCCTCTGCTGGTCTCCGTTGAATATGACCAGACCATCTCAATCGATTCTCTCTCAACATATCTTCTATCTGTGTTACTCTTACCCATTCCCGAATACACTCATTCCTAATTCTGTCTTATAGAACTCAAAAAGATATGATAAACTTTTATTTAAAATATTTCAAATCTAATTACTAAAAAAATAAATGAAATATTTTACTCTCAATTCTTCTATTGTTAGAGTTTTATTTAATTTATTTTTTTTCTCTCACAATTATCTTATTTTTATACCGCAATGATTCAGAGCACTAATTTTGGTGCTCTAATGGAGTACTAATGACATTGCAAGGAGGAAAAAAAAAAAACCAAAACCAAAACATCACATCACATTGGGTGGGGCCCACTGCTAGCTCATTAGAACTCAAAATTTAGAGCTCCAAAGCATTTTTCATTTTTATATATATCGTTAAATTTGAACTTGAATTTTTTTTAATAATTCAAATCTAATTATTAAAATAAAAATATATATTTTTCTCTCAATTTTTCTATTATTAGAGTTTTATTTAATTAGCTTTTTTATTTGCCCTATTATGGAAATAATACATGTTACTATATAATATATATACAAAATATATTTACTATTATATTTACTAATAGCCCCCCTAAAACTCAAGTGGTTTCAAAGAGACCACGAGTTTGAAGAAGATTTTTGCTCAACCCCTTTATTTTTCATCATATATTTTTCTTCAATTATTTAAATTTATGTGTTTGATTTTGATGTAATGTATAAGGAGGACACTCAATTTAAATCCAAATATAATTAAAATTAATTATGTAACTTTACAACATTTTTGCTTACCTTTTTATTTTTGGGATTTTTTTTTGAGGTATCTGGTATTAAGATTTTATAGGATAAAAGACATGCAATATTTGTATAATGGTTGAGGTCCCTCAACATTTTTTCAGAAAAATTTATCTAAAATTTATCAATATTTTGAAATTTCTCTTGTCTGCTCAACTTTTCTAAAAGTATTTGTACCAAACTTTAAAACTGAAGGGCTGTTGTCATCATGAGTCACATAAGTTTAATAAAAAAAAATAAGATGCAGCAGCTGCAATGTAAAAAACCAATACGTCTTACCATCTGGATTGTTGGTCCAAAGTGCCCTTTGACACCTCCAATTTCTTCTTGAAGAACCTAATTAAACACAAGGAAGAAAAAGTTTCCTCAAGAAGCTTAAGAATTTATCGAGCCCATATCATTTACATATCATATGTGAAAAATACACTTCACCTTGTCAAAGAATTTGGCTTCAAACTTTCCAGCACAATGGTCAGTAGTTGTGACAGCTGAAGCATCCTGACCACCTCCAAGCACCACCTAGAAGCATCATTTCACAAAATAATTGTAAGTGTAAAACAAAAAGCTACAAAGAAAATAAAACCGAGTCAGTAACCAATTTTGTTTGACACATAATGTAGAAAGTTACCGCAACAGTATGCTAACACATGCATACAGGAGCGTATGAATACGTGCACAGAAAATGAGGCTATTCCTCATATTTTTCATGAATTCTGCCGAGTAGTGTTTTTAAAGGCTCAAGGCGCTGAAGGTCTCTCGGGGCTTAGGCGCAAGGTGCAAGGCAAAGCGCGGGCTTTATTGAAGTAAGGTGCACAGTCTTCATAAAAAATAGAAAAATTAACATAGATTAATCATTCATAGTACTAAGATAATTTTTTTAAAAATAAAAAATAATCAAGATTCAAGATAAAATATAGAATAATTCTCAAAGCCATGAAAGTGCATATCACATAACATTTTAATTTTCAAAGAAAAAATAATCCATATTCAATAAAATAAAAACAAAAACATAAACACTGGTCTGTTTGGTAACGTTTACGTTTTCAGTTTATATTTACAAAAATTTTATAAACTGGTTTTTGTTTATTTTTAGAAAAATATAAACTACAAACGCGTTTGGTAATTGACAAAATGTTTAAAAAATTTTAAAAATATAAAAAAGAATGAGAAATGGCAAGTGGCGGCGGAAGATGGTAGTGAAAAGTGGTGACGGTGGGTGGTGGATGGGTGGGTAGTGGGCGACGGTGGCGGGTGGTGGTGGCGGATGGCGGGTGGTGGTGAGTGGTGGCGAGTGGGTGGGGGGGGGGGGGGGGTGGCGGGTGGGGGGGGGGGGGGGGGGGGGGGGGGGGGGGGGGGGGGGTGGTGTTGTCGGTGGGGGGGGGGGGGGGGGGGGGGGGGGGGGGGGTTTGGTTGGGGGGGGGGGGGGGGGGGGTTGGGGTTTTGGGGGGGGGGGGGGGGGTAGGGGGGGGGGGGGGGGGGGGGTTTTGGGGGGGGTTTGGGGGGGGGGGGGGGGGTCTCTATTATTTTGGACCTAGCCAATGGGTTTATTT